GGAAACACGATCCTCTGTGACACAAGATACAAATTAGTGCGACGCCGGAAATAGGTATGCAGACAGTACTCACGGGTAGCGATATGCGCCGCCCTGGCTTGATCACGCTGAGAGATTGCCGCCTGAGCACGCTGAGAAGCCTTCTGGAGGTCCCGATCCAGTGTCGATACCCGATCTTGCAAGCGGCCAAGCTCAGCTGTATGGGTTGCGATCGTGGTATCGGCCACCCTCAAGCGACGCCCATAGTTGTCATTCAAGGTACGAAGGCGACAGTTCTTGCGCTTCATCGCGGCCTCGAGACGAGCTACCTCAGCCTGAGCAGCCTTGTGGGACGTAGCTGATTCGTGAAGCTCCGAAGCGAGGGCAGATTGACGATCGCGCGCGACTTGTAAATCAATCTGGGACCGCGCGAGCTGGGACTCCAAGTCCGCTATGCGACGAGCCGTATCGGGCGGGACGATCACGCCAAACGAAGAGGCGGCTGCCAGCTGTGCCTCTAGCGTGCAGATCCGGTCTTGGAACTCGAACACAGCCTCGTTGTAGCGGATCTTCAAGTCACGGTACCGAAGGCGGCAAGCCTCGAGCTCATGAGAATTGTCAAAACGCTCCTGCAACGCATCCAGGCATTCGGCGAGCTTCGTCTGGGTGGATTCCAACTGGTGACGAACCAAGTCGTATTTGCGCTGACAGAAGAGTACATACGGCGACGCAGCATTGGCCGCGTCGGCAAGTTGACGATCCAGATCCTCCGCGCGGCGTCGTGTAGCCAGGAACTCGCGGTGCAGGCCCTCATGATCCGAGCGAAGTTCGCGCAGTGCCTCGACTTGATCAATGGACTGCTGCAGCGCACTCAGCGAGGCCCGCACGCCGGCAAGGTCCAACGAAGGATCGGTCAGCTCGATGGTCGACACGGTGGCAGGAGCGCCGCGCGCAGCAGAACGAGGAGACGAACCGGGCGAGGACGTGAGGTCGACAAAGATGTTGGTGTCTGCAGAGGAGAGAGTTAGCGAAGGAGAAGGGACCAATGACGCATGGAAGCATACGTACCAGAAGACATGACGACGTGACCGCACGGACACCGAAGACGGGCGTGAAGGCGCAGACGAGAAGTTGCTGCGAGAGACGAAGATCGGTGAGTGAAGCCCGACAGTTGGTGCTGTGAACTCTCACTCAGGGGACGATTGTGGTGAAGCG